GGTATATCAACCTCATTTTTCATAATATATTGCTCAAAAAGTGGTTAAGAAATATATGTAATAAAAAAATTTAGAATAAATGACGTTAGCGATATTTTTGAAACGTGAAATGTTAATATTATCCATTTTTATTTTACTTGAGCTTGAATTTGATTATGTATAACAAATATATAAGTTTATTTGTATGTCAAATTTCATACCATTCTAAAATTGACTCATTGGGTTGAAGAAAAATTAAGGTTTAATTGGTAAGGATGGACCACGTTTTCATTTACCATTTGTGTTGTCACAATGCCCATAAGAAATTTGAATTTCAAAGTTTGAATCCCATATGTAGCCCACATATGTGGGGGATTTCATCTTACACATGTTTGGTAAAAATTTTCATTTTCTATAGTAAATCAATTCTCATTTTCAACCACACATTCTTCAATAAAATAATATTTTCAGTCACATCAATACTTTTTTCTTCTTTTTCAACCACACATTTCCCATCATATCACTATTCAAAAATCAATTCTTCCTCCAAAAATCCCTACCAAACACACTCCAAATTAGAAGTCATTTCAGGCCCCCACTTTGAATTCAGATACGAGATGCACATTTGTCGTGTTCAATTAAGGAAATAGAGCATCTAAAAGGTGTGTTTGAGAAACAGTATAAGAATACGATTAATATAGTGGCGTCAAAATATGTCGAGTTGCTCTTGTTTGGGTGACTCGCCTCGCTAAAAAAATTGATTTAGTATTGATTGGTCTAACTCACAAATAGACCCGTCATAATAAAGACATCGTGTTGAGATTGATTGTCTAGCCTGATAATCCATGAGGTCTGACTCAGTTGGCAAAGTTGTTAAAAAAATCAAAAGAGTTGGTGCCCTTTTTTTAGTTTCCAACCGGGTCTATTTCTTTCTAAATTCAAATATAATTTTGGGAAAAAAATCATTTATCAGATTTTTACTATATACTATTTCGAAAATAAAAAAACAACTTTCAAATTTCTAAAATCGGATATTTGACATATACATACATATATATAAAATAATAAATTATTAAATCAATTTATTAAATATTCAATTGTAATATATAGCTTGTTTGGTACAGATTCTCATTTTCTACAGTAAATCAATTCTTATTTTCAACCACACATTTTTCAATAAAATAATATTTTCCATCGCATCAATACTTCTTTCTTCTTTTTTAACCACACATTTTCCATCATATCACTATTCAAAAATCAATTCTTCCCCAAAAAATCTCTACCAAACACACTCATAATATAATTAACCCACCACACCCCTACTGCTTCTGGGACTATTTCGGCGACTGTTCCGGCTGCCGCTTAATTCCAACGACTACTCCGGTAACCGTTAAGATATATACAATTTGGTCATAGATTCACAATTTAATTAACCATGTATTAATTTTCGGTCATAAAATAGAATTTTCACAGCATAAAATATTTTACGATCACAATTCAAAATATTTTGTAGGTCACAGATTATTTTATTGGTCACAAATTAAAAAATTACAGGTCACACTTATCTATCAGTCACATATTTTCAAATTTATTGGTCGCAAATTAATTTTTAATCACAAATTGTCGAATTTTAAAGTCAC